ATATATATATATATAGTAACTTTTTTCAAAAGAATAACTTGACTGTAATTTCAATTTTGAGTAGCTTGACAATTCGTTTCAAAGTAGCTTCCCCAACACTGGCTGGTAGTATTGTGACTCTGGAAGATACGGTCAAAACACAGGCTATGGTCACATATTGTGCTTCCCAGCCTCCAGGTTCTGCTCCTGATAAAATGTATATGTTCACTCAGGGTTAAATTTTGCCTCCACACTGAATGCCACGGAAATTGAGCATGACTCACTCCACAGGCTTCTCTCTAAGACTTTTATTTTTAGAGGGAAGAATATGACAAGATTAATTAAGATCTCTGAATGTTATGTGCAGTTTGCTCATGCCCGATACCCTATCTCTTTGCTCTTCTCCCTATGATCTTTCTATCCCGTCTGGTCAACCCCACAGGCTTTGCCCGCAATCTCTCTGAAGGCAGCGATGCTAACTACACAGAATATGTGGCGACCAGGTGGTACCGCTCACCTGAACTGCTCCTTGGGTAAGTCCTCATATCTGTACTTCCTGTTTTGTTTTTCACAGTGATTTCTAGTATACTTTGTTTACAGAGACATGACAAAAAATGTCTTCAGTGAAGCCAAAAAGCATGAAAAATCAAACTCCCCTCAAATAGAAGCACTAATATTCATTGAGGGCACATCCTTTTTAAAAATGCTGATTTGATATAGCCATTAGATGTGACATCAGGAGTGCGGTGCATGATTATTTGTCCTTGTCGCCATTGAAGCGTTATTTTCTAGTGTGTGCCACTAGACTAGATGAATGCAGTGGAACATTTTTTGAAACTCTCACCATTTAAATTCCACCCACACAAATATTCTCTCCCTCCCTCTTGCTGTGTGTTAGTGCAAAGATTTGTGTCTCAGTGTTATGTCTATCTATCTGCCTCTGTCTCTGCATGCATTTCTCCTCATCCCTCTTTCATTTTTAGTGGTGCTATTGTTCTCAGAGTTGGGATTTGAACAAAACCTTAACCCTAAGCATGTCACTCGTCCTGCACCGTTTGTGCTACAGACATGAATGGCGCTTCAAATCATGGTGCTTTGAAAAGTCTTTCTATTACTTTTCTAAGCAAACAGACTTGTGATTTCTGTCTTTCAGATGATAAACACAGGTGAAAAAATCCTTTGACTTACTTTGAAGGGGCTATATTTAGGGCTACAGAAACATCCTAACTTAGAATCATTTTCTATCTTTTTAGTAACCATGGTAATTTTCACTTAGGAAATAGAACTTTTTTTAATTTTACAGGGATAGTTCACCCAAAAATGAAAATTCTGTCAT